TGTCTTCATTGTCAAATACATGCGGACATTCATAATCAAACTCTTCCTCCTTTGTTGCTTATTCAATGTCTTCATTGTCAAATACATGCGGACCTTCATAATCAAACTCTTCCTCCTCTGTTGCTTCTTCAATGTCTTTGTTATCAAATACAGGCAGACCGTCATAATCAAACTCTTCCTCCTCTATTGTTTCTTCAATGTCTTCAATCGTGACATCCTGAATATTATGATCACGGTGTTGGACTTCCTCAATTGGAACCTACCCACGACGACCACGACCTCTAAGCGCATGTTACTGCGGCATAAGTGCAGCAACTTGCTGTGTTAGCAACTCTCAATCATGAGAAATTCAAGGAAAAACTGTATTTCATCCAAAACTGAACTATCTCAAAGGGTTTACAACATTTAAATAGCGAAACCCTAAGAAAATTCGAAAAGAAATTACTTAATAATAAAAAATATTATTTTTTTCCAAAAATGGAAAAAATTGAGATAATGACGGATCTTGATTCTCCTAATTATCAGAAAACCATCCTAGCATTCTAGGGCAACCATATCATTCATGTAGATAAACTATTGTTGCGATCTTAGTCAATAAGGTAAACACAACCTCCTTAGATTTCAACTTTACGATTGACAAATAATTAAGTAGGAAAATAAACCAATGGAAATGAAGTTAGCACAGTGAATGGTTGGTGAAAGGCATTCCGCAATTGTGGCGTCTGTTGGCTTTCTTATAATTTGGATATGCTACGTTAGGGCTATATAGTTATGGTTCATTCCATAAATTTAACAGATAAAATTCCATAGAAGAAAACTGAGATACCACCTTAACAATTGCCAACAGCATTGTTAAGCAGCTGTAAGATATATGCGTAATTGCCATGACAAAGATGAAGCGGTGCAGTTGCTCAAGGCCTTCATATGAGACAAATGGTTCATAATTCTGTGAAACAACATCAAATTCAGATCAAATTTCAGTATTTTTGAGCAACATTAGAAAATAAATCACATAAAAACTAGAATAAGCAAACATGTCTTTTACCTTTCCAAAGAAAATGAAAACGAAAAGATAAATGAATGTGACAATTGACTAAATAATTGGATCCTACCAGACAAGAAAACACATGCATAAAGAGAACATGTATTCCTCCATTATTAACTAAGCAATTCTGTTAATTGTTTATTCCACTCCAAGTTTGAGTAAAAATAAAAAGGTCATTATTGTCATGTTTCGTGGATAATTGACTTGCCTTCCTGCAGGTGTTCTGATTCAGCACATTAAACACTCTCCTATGCGAGTGAGGATTATAAAAGGATTCCTTTATATCCTTATTTTCCCTTTCCTCATCAACTTCTTGCATGGTGCATGGAGCAAATGCACTATTGTAGAACTTTGACGGTATACATATATTAGATATAATGCTTGATGTTGCCGTAAGGAGGAGAGAGATGAAGCCAAGAAGCATCAATTCTGTTGATCAATTTCAAATGAAACTTCTTTTAAACTGATGATAAGAGTGCGAATCATTGTTTCTAACAGCTCACTTGACATAAAATTGCATATAAAAATAACTAGTACCTTCCTTCATTTTCTCGACTGCTGCAAGCAATGGTTTCCGATTAGTTTTTTTCAACCACTGGGATGACAGGAAATCCATAAATAAATAACGTCAAAACACTTGTCAAAACTTGTCAAAACTGAATTTTACATGCTCACATGGATAACTTGAAGAATGCATAAATAATGTTATAACACTCCAGAATGCATAGAAAAATAAAAGTTGAGAAAAATGCTACTACTTTCACTTAGTTAAATTGTATCTATACCTCAATATCTTGCAAGACAATAAAATCCCCTAAAAGAAAACCCCATATACTAACTCCAGTCACTCAATATATCTAAAATTTGATTTACTCAATGAAACGCACAGTTAAAAGCAGATAACTTTATCATGAGGTCATGTGTCCAAAAGTAAAGCCAATTGATGCCAAAATTATCAGAAGATTTTGCGAAAAAGGTCAACCCAACGTAAGTCTTATCTCTACAAATTTCTTACTGACAGCAGAAGGAATCCTGGGCATGGGATGTGTGTGCTTGACAACCAATAAAGTATCTATAGAAATACGGAGAGATTACTTCTTGGAAATTTTTAATTCATATCATAATAGGTGTAGAAGACCACAATAAGTAAGAGAAAATACAAAAAAAAAATAATAATAAAATAAAAGAAATCACCTACATACCAGCCCTTTTCCGGTCCATCCAACCCACTCTCACTATATGTCAATCTATCTAGACATTTAGTTCTACAACCCAAAATTATGGTACAAATGGCAGCATGCTATTGATAATCCAAGTCAAAATTGCAGAAGGATAAAACTATTGGATTATATATCAAACCACAATATTTTTCTTTCAACAAGTTAGCAACCAAATAGGGAAATCAAAATAAGAAAAATGAAAAGAAACAGAAATAAGTCACCACTTCTTCATGGTTTCTATGATTTAGTTCCAGCAAATTTCTCAAGTTCAAGATGATTTTTTTTTTTTTTTAAAGGTTGAATCTCTTGACAATTTTCTAGTTCCAAATGGAAGCTTGTAATCTGAATAGTACATGCTCTTTGTGAGGCCATATATGATCAGTGAGAATTTGATGAGAAAATAGCATTCATGAACAAGCCTAGACACAAGTTGAGTAAGACAAACTACTCTTAAGCAAGCACCTTTAAAATGAATTCTAACTGAAGATATGGATACCTAAAGATCAAGCATGGAAAAACAAGGACTGGTAAAAGAGATAATACCACAAGCAAAAGATGGCGAGCAGATAAAATTTTAGAAAAAGGTTAATTTATTTGCTCCGGCAACCACCAAGTTTGCCATCCATCAATTAACTTTTTCATCCTATAGTATATCTTTCACTTCAATTTCTTCAGATTTGGATTTTAATCGCACTTCATTGTAAATTAACTTAGTCATGCATTTTCATAACAATGTATATATGTTTTTAATATCGTATGCGAATATATGATCCTTAACATGCATTCTTTTTTTTACAAAATTGACCTAGAAGGCTTGGGTTCAGACCAACAAGCAGAGGAATGTGCAACAGTTATCAGGATGACTCCAAAAATGCATTTCAGTTTTATCAGCAATCAGAAATATTAAAATTGAGAAAAGCAGCACGTTGCATTACATCCTGACCATATTGTCCTAATCAGGAATATCACAAGATCATTTAAGTATTAGAAACAACAATTAAGGTGCTATTTTCTTAATCTTTTATCTTTATGAAACAAATACAACAGAAACGGCCAAAAGCATGAGCAGAATTTCATTAAGATTCAAGAAAATGTCACTTACATTACACAAACTGTGAATTGTCCGCTCCACAAGCAGTGAAACAGCAACAAATATAGTCAAAACAGAAGCAACAGACCATGTTGGAGTTAAGGCCAATGACCTCAACTCCTCTGAATTTTCGAGCTCTCCTAATGATTTGGATTCGGACATTTCTCAATAATTTCTCCCTCCACAAACTCTAAACTTTTAAATAAATCCCAGGCCCTCAATTCTTCTGCATTGAAATGTGGGCATGAACAAAACCCATCATTCTTCAGAATTCATTAAGGACCTGCAGCAAGAAAAAGTCAAATATTACAACTTTCTTCCAGGAAAAAAATGTTCAAAATATACAGTAGCCCAAAGAAGGTGCCCCACACCAACAAAAGCATTGCAAATTATAGAATGCAACACGTTCTAATTCTTTTCCAAAAGTCGGTGCCTTTCAAGACGGCAATGGGGTCAAAAGGATCACAATTTACTTCAAGACCCAATCTTTTGGAATCAAATCAAAATGACTTGAAAAAAATACCCACCAACAAAATGGGTTATCTTGGAAACTGATCTATGATATCAGAAAAAACAAGAAAGTTTTCGTTTTTGAAAAAACAAAGAGATCTCTGAATTTCTGAGCCGAAAGTTGAAACCCTACTCGGAAAGACCCTCTCAAGTAACAGGCCAGTGATTCAAACCTCTTATCAATCCGACTCGTTTGGCTTCCAAACCAGCAAATACTCCACAAGAACACCCAATAAGCTTAGCAATAAGATAATGAGAAACCAACCTGAACCACGGACTCAGTCACTCAGTATCTGAGAAAGAAGTTTAATAAGCTGGAAACAGAAACAGGTTTTCGATTTCTTTCCTAGTAATGCTACAAAGAAACATCAACAGAACCAAAAAGCATTAAATATTCACAGACCCAAAAAGCAATAAAGTCATCTCTCTCTCTCTCTCTCTCTCTCTCTCTCTCACATCCAGTTGGAACTTGGAAGTGTTAAACACATGTATGTATACGTACATTATGAGCGTGTGATTGGTGGGGAGCCTTGGCTTTGAGAGACGCGACATTACAATGAACCTGCACCAGCTGCTCAGATTTCTTTACTTTCTAAACTTCATTCTCTCCATCGATTGGAGATGAAAATCTTTATTAAAGGTGGCAATGTAGCATAAATCTACGTCGTGGTTTCACTGTTCCAAAGACTACTAGATTTTGTTATTCTTTTTTTGTCTCATTTGAGTAAATTCAAATTATTATAATGTATTTGGATGTCGAGCCGACAATCAAGGCTAGTCACAAGTAATCCAACGGAGTCCTCAATCTCTCTTAGACTTCAGTTTTGGCGTGGCTAAGGGTCGGTCAAACATTTATGTCATCTTAGTATCTTACCATCTATAGTATATGGCAACAACTTCAACATAGTGCATTCTAGTAAATCTCTGTCTTCAAGATATTTGAATTCTTGTTTTCAATAAAAATAAAAAGCTTTTTAAGTAACTCTTACTTTTATTGTTAAAATAATTTTTCAAATATTTCTTTATTAGTATGTTTTTTGAATCACGTCTCGATTAATTGTGACACTTTATATCATAAAAAGAGAGAACGTTCACCCGCATAACAATGCTCACAAATTATAAGAAATTAATTGAGGATAAACCATATTACAAGAACATGTTTTTTCACAGATCTACAAACCAGCGAAGTCCACTAGATAAATGTACTAGTTGATAACAATATACAACCCACCATAATATTTGTTTATTTTCTTGATTCCATTCTCTCCGTCGTTGCATTTAGAGTTGACGTGGCATGTGAAACTAGGCCATTAAATGACGTTATGCACCTAAAACATAAATACAAATAAATTATAAATGTTAGTTGGACATAGCATGACACAAGTTATCACGAGAGGTAAGCTATAAAATGTTCGTGCTCGAGAGGCCAACTCAAGTTATTGAAAAATCTTTTGTCCAAGATGTCAAAGTTATGATTAAGTACAACTAAGGAGTCTTGTCAAGTTAAGAAACTAAATTTGTAAAATCTTGTTCGACAACACACAATAACACAATATTACATGAGTTCATAAGATGTAGTAACCCATGCACCTGTACACCCCTTACCATTTACTTCACACTATTCTTCTCTCTATGTTTAATCGAATCATCCAAACACATTATCAAATCAAACGTTGGAGTATTGAAATCACTAACTCTCATTTCATGTTGATGGAAAAGAAAGAAAAGAAAACCATGTTGAGTGATGACAGCAAATTAGCTGATATTCAATGAAATCCGATTGCGGTTGTCACGGAGAAATTGTAGGGCCACCTGAATATCATTCTAAACCTTTTCGGCAAATGGGATTAGTTGCAACCTCTACTTCCATGAAAGAAGTTACTCAGAATGGTCCAAAACTTTCTCCATATTTTGGCTTTAGCTTAGTTGTAAAATGATGTCATTATAAGATGGTCTCAACTTTGAAAATTGCAAATTAGACCAAGAGCAAGGAATTTTCATTTTTCACACGTTAAAAGAAGAAAAACTAGGGAAAAAATCATATCTCGACTACTAAGTATACTCTATTCAAATCTCAGATATTAAGTTTCAAAATGCAAAAATCAAGTTTTTATTTTGTTTTATTATCAAATTAAATTAATCTACATGTTTGTGCAAAACCCACAAGTGTACGAGATCATTGACTAGTAATACGTCATGAGTTAAGAGCTATCGTCCAACATGGAATAAATTTCAATTAAATGTATTAGTTTTTATTTAGATTCAAAGTGAGCAAACAAAATAGAATTGTGGTTGATAATTATTCTAAATTATTCTACGAAAGCTTGTAAAATTCGATTTTTGTATTTATATGGAATGAATGTATTTGATTATGAATATACCTATTATTATCTATTTCAATTCTCAATTATGTAGTTAGTATCATTCATGCATTCTTGACAATCAATAATTCTATTGTAATTAATTCTATTTTTCAAGACTAATTAAATCTATTCTAATCACGACCCGAATCTATTCTTAATCTGAATTCGAATTAATAGAACGCATTAAAGTTTAAATTATCTCAAAAATTTCACACGTGATAAATATTATTCATAATATCTATTGCACGCCTCCCAGCACTATAACAAGCAACTATATATTTAATGGTGATCAAGCAATCAAATAATAAAATTATGCATGCAAGATTAATCAAGAAAAACAAGAAATTAACTAACTACTTGTTTTGCATGTTTCATCTTCATCCAATACATGAAAATAATTAGCCTAACATATTGTTATGTAAATCACACAAAAAGATTTGGAAAAACATAACCCGGAATGAAAAATAATGAATGGAAAGTGAAAAATCAATTTCTTCTTCGTTAATCTTCAACATAGACTTTGAATTTTCAATTTCTTGTATTAATTGTCTTTGAATCTTGTGATAGCCTCTTTCTTTTAGTGAAAAATAGGATTCGACATGTTCCGTGTCGATTACACCACCCTCTCCCTCCTTAGAAATAGGTTGAATTTGATTTTTATAAGAATTTAGATAAAACAAAAAAATTGGGCCGTTCAAGCCCAAAAATGGCATGTGCGCCCGCCGTTATACAATTTTCCATTTGTTGCACTTTGGTCCCTGAATTTCATTCTTTAGTTATTTTGGTCCATTTTTGTATCTTCTTGATCCTCCATCTTCCAACTACATCTAATTGACTCCAACCTCTCTTCAATCATCGCTACTAGGTCTGAATCATCTATTAGCATTTTACGATTTAGTTCCCAAACTATGGATCGGGTCCACTATAGCCAATTTTATGCTCATTTTTTTCAATTCCATTGTTTTTCATCGGATGCATCTAACAAACAAAATACATACCGAATTAAGCCTCAATTCATTTAAAATAAAAATTATTCTAAATTATTCTACGAAAACTTGTAAAATTTGAGTTTTGTATTTATATGAAATGAATGTATTGGATTACGAATCCACCTATTATTATATATTTCAATTCTCAATTATATAGTTAGTACCATTCATGCATTTTTGAAAATTGATAATTTCATTGTAATTAATTCTCTTTTCCAATACAAATTAAATATATTCTAATCACGTCTCGAATCTATTCCTAATCCGAATTCAAATGAATAGAACGCATTAAAATTTAGATTATCTCAAAAATTGCACACGTGATAAATATTATTCTCAATATCTATTACACGCATGTTAATCAAGCAATGTTCTAAACCTATTGTGAGTCTCACAACACTACAACAAGCAAATATATATTTAATTGGTGATCAACCAATCAAATAATAAAATTATGCATGCAAGATTAATCAAGAAAAATGAGAAACTAACTAATTACTTGTCTTGAATTAAAAATAAATAATAACATGTTTCATCTTCATCCAATACATGAAAATAATTAGCCTAACATATTGTTATGTAAATCACACAAAAAGATTTGAAAAAACATAACCCGGAATGAAAAATAATGAATGGAAAGTGAAAAATCAATTTCTTCTTCGTTAATCTTCAACATGGACTTTGAATTTTCAATTTCTTGTGTTAATTGCCTTTGAATCTTGTGATAGCCTCTTTCTTTTAGTGAAAAATAGGATTCAACATGTTCCGTGTCGATTACACCACCCTCTCCCTCCTTAGAAATAGGTTGAATTTGATTTTATAAGAATTTGGATAAAACAAGAAAATTGGGCCGTTCAAGCCCAAAAATGGCCTGTGCGCCCGCCGTTATACAATTTCCCATTTGTTGCACTTTGGTCCCTGAATTTCATTCTTTAGTTATTTTGGTCCATTTTTGTATCTTCTTGATCATCCATCTTCCAACTACATCTAATTGACTCCAACCTCTCTTCAATCATCGCTACTAGGTCTGAATCATCTATTAGCATTTTACGATTTAGTTCCCAAATTTTGGATCGGGTCCACTTTAGCCAATTTTATGCTCATTTTTTTCAATTCCATTGTTTTTCATCGGATGCATCTAACAAACAAAATACATACCGAATTAAGCCTCAATTCACTTAAAATAACAATAATTGCTCTAATTTAACGGTACGGATAAGTGTCCAAAATACACTTATCAGTTATCACCACCCGCACCCACCTCAACTGCCCCCATCCCACTCTCCGGCTTTCACCCATC